CCTGGTATTTGAGTGTTTGAATTGGATTTTAAATTTCAAATCCTTGGTCATTTGGATTACAGTTGTAAAGTTAATATTTAACAGCCATCGCGTTTTTGTTTTGCTTTAATTTTGACCTTATCTAGCTGGCCTTTCACTCATGGTTCTAGGGACACGCCCCTACTATATATTATCTCCTCCCACTCCTTAATTTAGTAAAATGTCAGTTAAACATCGCATGGTCAAAAAGGTTTGTAGGCAAGAGTTCGACTTTCAAAATAAGGTATCTGAATGTCTTTGAAATAAAGTCAAACCCAGGACCTTTTTTAAGTTCTTTCAAATATGGACCTCCTATAGTTTTAATTCTTTGTTCAATTTCAAGTGTACATCTCGACTTTAGCTACGTTAAAAGTAGCAACTCTTTTTAATAGGAGTAGATAGGATTTCCTATCGTCCTGTCCATTCTACTCTTGAACAGGAGTAGAGGTCCATCCCTTGTTTAGGAAGGGGTTCTCTGTTCCTTTCCTTTGCTCAGGCCTTAATGGTAGTGCTGTCATGACTTTTTTGTGATTTGTGTGGTTAGTAGCAACGGCTCGTCATACTGAGGCTACTGGGTTGACAGTTTTCTGGTTGCTGTTCCCGCCTGGTATTTAGGAAGCAGAACTTTTGCGTAACGTCTTGAGATGTTGATTAATAGTCGCATAATATCGGAGTTCTTGCAGTGTTTCCCTACAAGCAACTTTAGCGGTCAACCCCGAGGCCACACATGTTACATTAGACAACCGACTCTTACTACTACCCTATGTCTTTATTTGCCAAAATAACACACCATGACTATAAAGAACCAAAGATATAAACAAAAAACACCTAAACCCCCCAACCTTTCTTTCTCCAACATTGGTGGTATTCGTACTAACCTTTGCAGAGTGGAATAGTTCCGCTTCAAAAAGTCTCCTGACATCCTAGTTCCCACCGAAACTAATCTGAACTCTTCAATCCTCTCCTCTGATTTATCGATTCTTAGCTATCTTTTATCTTCTTCTCTTTAGCGAGGACTCTAGTGTCCACGTGCATGGCCTGGTAGTTTATGCCCACGAACATCTCCCGCTGGCTAAGAAACTTTCTCTTGAATCTCTAGACCATTCTTACATGAGTCTCCATCTCTCTCTTCTAAAATCAGTTATCTATCTCTCCTTTCTCTACCGTTCCCCTTCCTTTCATGACTGTTGCAAGCGAGTATCTGTAAACATCTCTTTCCAAAACTCCTTCAAATAGAATATCTTTCTTTTATCAACGTGCGGATTGGTAGTTGTTCCATGATTTCCTTCGTGACGTCACTTGGAATGAAATTTTTAATCATCCTCTTAAAAATGCCCGTCTGAGGTTACTTCCTGAGTGAAAGCTGGTATAGATGCTTCCAAAGATGCCAAGAAAATTCCAAGTTAAATCGCGTTCATCTCTTTGGTTTTGAGCTACATGCTTGCTATAGTACCCAAGAATCACTTCTTACGAGCGACAAATCTGATTTCAACAGACGTTTTTTTATCTCTGCTCGTAATAAGTGCAGGCGGATCCTCAAAGAGGTGAAGTTACCGCTTGCTGTTAGAATGAAACAATGTATAGCATCTCGCAAGTTGGGTTCTAAAGATTATTGTTGGCTCTATAAGACTGTACTGAACAAAAGCAAATTCTTAATCCCTCTATTCAATCAATTCGAAGTCCTGACATATACAGCAGATAAGATAATATACTTTGGTCGTAAATTCTCTCTCGACTCATTTGGAGTAAACACATCTGATTTCCCCACTAGAATATAGGCTCTACTGAGAGATATGCGCATATTCCCGTCACAGACATCAATTCTAAATTCCACATGGTAAGATGAGGATCTTAGTAGATGTGCTAAAGAAATGTGCTCCCGGGCTGATTTTAGTTCTCTCCAAACATTATACCTATTGACCCGCCGCTTCCTGCTGGAGCTTGTTAAAAGTCCTCTTCTGTAGTCCCTGATTTTAAGAACTGTAGACAATCCTCTAGTCTTTCTAACAGCTGCCCTATTAGTCTCCCATTGCTTTTCGGTGAATTATTCGAGGCTTTAATTAATGCTGTCGTTAAGCATCATACCTCTTACGACCTACTCACTGAAAAACAAGATAGCTTCCATTGTGCCAAGTCTACCGCTGATGTGCTAACGGCCATCACTGAATATGGATAACCAAACTCTTCATAAAGCTCGATTTGTGACTCTAGACATCTCGAAGGCGTTTGACAGGATTTGGCAAGCTGGTCTTCTACGTTAGCTCCATAACTGCGGTATTACATGGCGATTGTTTGATTTAATCGAATCGTTCTTTCGTAGAATGAATGCCGTTTTGAATGGGATCGCCTCCAGACACTTTCACACGAACACGTGTTCCCCCAAGGCTCTATCGTAGGTCCTACGCTTTTTCTGACCTTCATCAATGATTTTACTGATGTTCACACTTCGCAAATAGGTATTTATGCAGATGACACTACCATTTATTTCTGTCTCAATAACAAATAAGTCAGATATAACAAAGTTAACCTGGTCGCTGCTCTTGAAAAGAAAATCCTATCGGTGGTTAACTGGGCAAGAAATGACTTGTAAATTTTAATGCTTCCAAAACGAATATGATCACATTTAACTACCATAGAGAAACTTTCCTAATCACCATCAGTATGGCTGATGCTAGACTCCTAGAGAACAACAAAATGCGCCATCTTGGTCTCAGATTTTCAACTAACTTGAAGTGGGACGACTACATCGAATCAATTGCTGCATCTGCTGCAAGGAAAGTTGAGTAACTGTTTTGTGCCAGGTTTTCCTCGTCTATAGTGTTTAGTTTAGTTCAAGGGGGGATCGATGCAAATATGCAATTATATATATATATATATATATATATATATATATATATATATATATATATATATATATATATATGTATGTATGTTTGTTTGTGTGTGCCCGGGCGCGCTTGGAGATGATAAGACCTTTGTACAATCTATTCTTTCTATTCTTGTCTTTGTCCTGTTGTTGTTATTGCTGCTACCTCGTTTGGTGCTGTACATCTTATGATTTCATAGGCGGTGCTGATGAACTTTTACTTAAGGTTGGATAGATTATTTTGAATGGTGGCTGTTGGTAGGTAAGATTATGTGTCTATTTTATCTTCTGTTGATTTTGTAGGCTTAGCTTTCGGCAATGATCGCAAAATAGGTGGGGTATTGGAGGAACTTGAATGTGTTTTATATATTCCTCTTCTTTGGGAAGGAAATAAAAGCTTCAGATTCTATGGGCTCTTAAATAAAATCCCTTGTTATTCAGGATTTGCATTTATTGTTGTGATGGGAGTGTATGAGATCATTATTTCTTTATTTTCGATAAACCTTTGATTGTATATCCGTATTCGTGCGATTTAACATGACGTCAAGATATGGTGAGATGTAGTTTGCTTCTTTTTCGCAAGTGAAATAGATTATATATTCTATACTATTTAATTCATCAGAATGTTCTTGTAGCGATATGCCGTTTGGCTATATTAATAGGGTATTGGCAATGTATCGTCTTTTGGGAAAATACGCTAAATAATGAGGCCAGATTCAAAAATTCTAATAAGAGACAGGCCACTGAACGGAGATACCATAGATAGCCAAAAATTCCTGTTGAAGTGAAATAACAGTGGTTATATATATATATATATATATATATATATATATATATATATATATATATATATATATATATATACGTGTGTGTATATATGTATGTATGTATGTATGTACGTATTGTAGGTCTGATGAATTGGATCTTGATTACGATTCCAATGTAATAAATTATCACCATGGAACATTTTCATTATTATTATTCATAATTTTATATATCTATATCTATATATATATATGAAGAAAATATATATACGGAAAAAAACAAAGAAAAATCCTTATATACAATTATGCTGTTTTAATGTTAATATGTCAACGTCGGACGTTTCGGTCTAATAAACCATCTTCAGGACATATTTATAAATTATAACATTATCAATACAACATGACAAAGACGATAATTTATAATTTATGAATATGTCTGAAGATGGTTTATTAGACCGAAACGTCCGACGTTGACATATTAATATTAAAACAGCATAATTGTATATAAGGATTTGTGTTTGTTTTTTCCGTATATATTTTTCTTCATACTGTCGGATCTATATCCATATATTTGCTTACATATATATATATATATATATATATATATATATATATATATAGATAGATAGATAGATAGATAGATAGATAGATACACACACACATCCGGACAATATAAGTTAATTAACCGCAATACGGTAAAATTAAGTTACAGCTGCACAAACAGTATGGCTAACATTATAAAAAAAATGCCGTACGGAAAGTGCTGTATATTGTTCCGAAGTGGAAGGTGAAAATAGTAGCACAAAAAGATACATTGGATGCATTGAGGGCCACTTCAAGTGGAGGTCGAATCATCACACCTCATCTTAGAAGGTAAGATACAACACAATGCTATCAAGCTGCTATTGGAGCTTTAGGAAGAGGCATAACAAAAGCCCAAATATTAAACCGAGTATATTAAGAAATCTAAAGATTAAAACAATAAACGCGAATACTTGTAGGCTTTGTGAAGAAATAAAACTGACTATAGTAACGTATAAGAACTGAATCACAGAACAGGAGGTCAGAGATCATGACCAAGTTCAGAAACGTTAAGAAGTTCAGCTTGGGGCCATTTAAACCCGGATAAAGTTATTTTTTTACACCTTCCCCCACTACTTCCGGTTTCGAACGAAAGTACTTACGTTGTTGAGCTCCATCTAGTCGCTTTGCTGAACAAACCACCAGAGGTGACCGTAGTGGTCGAACCGCGTTAGTGTTCTGGTCAGTATTCATTTTATTATAAATATTGAACATTTCCGCAAGTCTGGTCTTCCAACTTTTAATGCGCACGATTTTAACAAATATTTTACTGTTTATATAGATAGATATATAGATAGATAGATAGATAGATAGATAAAATAGATAGATAAAATAGATAGATAGATAGATAGATAGATAGATAGATAGATAGATAGATAGATAGATAGATATAATTATTTATTCGAAAATTATAACATAAATATGTTATAAAATCACTACAAAAATAGCGATTTTTTTTCAACACTTCTGGCGTCTAATCAATTGATGGTGTTGAATGTAGAATAAACGGTTTTAGAAGGTTCCACTCTCTCTCTCTCTCTCTCTCTATATATATATATATATATATATGTGTGTGTGTGTGTGTGTGTGATCGCCTAAGCGTGTATCACGTATGAAACATAACTGATTGACTGATATATATATATATATATATATATATATATATATATATATATATATATATATATATGCACAAAATTTTCGTCGATATTGAGTTACCTAATTCATTAATCAACAACAAATTAATCACGCGTACCCCTAATTAAGTTAATTTTTACCAAGTGAGTAGCATTCTTTATGTTATATCATCAAACAGAGTTGTTGCCTTCAAAGTTAAAAATTCTTTGGGATAATATGTTTTTTAACTGAAAATTGTAAAACGGTTGTTTTGCATAAATCTACGAAAATTCAGATGATGTGAATAAACATTGAAATGTTGATAAAATCAAGTAAATTCTATATCTTCCGTGGAGATCTTTATATATATATATATATATATATATATATATATATATATATATATATATATATATATATATATATATATATATGATAGTGGCGTTGCAACACAAAATACTGAACCCTGAACATTTCTGGAATATTAAATATTTCTATTAATATTACATATTCATTGAGCTCGTGTCAGAGAGATAAAGGAGCTTATTTTAATCGGTGATACTAATGCTTCGAGATTCTGATCTTTAAAATCCTTTGTTTCGAATAAAGATATTAAAGGTAAGCAGTATCATTTTACTAAAAAGAAATTAAAGGAAGAGTTGTTTTCCTGAGTTATATATCTTAAAGTTGCTTTGTATATGAATAAGTAACTTTTAGTAAAGAAATATACATGTTTGTGAATAGGTATGTATAAATGAGTCTACTTTGAATTGAATCAGTGAACAATGTTTTAGAATATATAAATGGCATTCAAAAATAATTCTGTCTTTACCCAATAAAAACTTCCTCTATACACAAAATGCCTGAATACATAACGACGCGGTAAGAAAAGACACACATTTTAGACGCATATTCAGATGTTAAATTTTCATTAAACAGAAACTGTGTAAATGTAATGAATAATAATGGAAATATCTCTGAGTTACCTCCCTTGGATACAAGCGAAATTAGACGCATGGCCCCCAATGGAGAGACACCAGTAAAAGAAAATAATAAATTTTCGTACGTAAAGAAAATATAAAGATTGAAAACAAAATAGCCAGAGAAATCGGATTAAAAGAATTTCCATTCGAACAAATAAATAAATATCCAACGTAAAAATGTTGAAGCAATGAATTTATAAATAATTTTGTTTTGAAAAAGAAATAAAAAAATCCCATTTAAGAAAAAAATCACGTGATATTTTGTCGAAAAAGAATTCTTTAATTAAAATATGTTTGCCCTGTTTCGTTAAGAAAAAAAACAAACTTTTAAAAGGTTTTCATCAGGCATTGGAATTACAGTCGAAAGTAAAAGCATCATTCAGTTTCAAGGCAACAGAAACCACCAGAAGAAAGATTTAATCAGTAATGTTCATAATCGACTAAACACTAAAATAGATGAACATATTGGAGGTATTATAATGGTAACGAATGGTGATGGTTACTAGGTTCGTGTCGAATACGAGTGAGTTCGATTCTAATAAAAATCTCCACTTTTTGCTAACTTTAGTCAAATTCTTACTACGCTACCACATCATGACTCAAAATTCTACTTAACGCCCCTTACCCTTTATAAACTTTATTATAATACTATTATTTAGAACCCAAGTAAATAAAATAATATTAATTAATCTATTAATGCGATCAATAAGAAAATAAAAAAATTACACGCACGGATTATAAGTATTATAACAGATTAGCTGTAGAAAAACCTTTGAAATTGGTTTCCCATAATACCCTGACAAGGGGGTAAAGTAAATCTCAACTTCCCATAATAGCCTAGGGGCCTATATAGAGAACCCGCGAGCGGAGGATTGAAACATTGCCTGAGGATTGCTTGTAGAGAAAAATTGTGTCACCACTGTTGATATTTATGTCCACACTGTCAATACACACCCGCCAACACAATTCACGCACACACACACATATATATATATATATTATTGAGATGAGGTATTATGTACATTATTTACATTATCCGGACTATTGTCCTCATCTTTGTCGCCATATTTATCAAAACGTTTCGGCCGTTGTACACTCAAAAATTGCAATATGAGCACTGGTAAAATTGGTTGCTGAAGACATTAGGTTTATAATACCCAGAAATTCATACCCAGATGTCCTCATTAAATCCAGTGACAGGACCCAAAGAGTGTGAGTTTAATACCCAGTTAAGGCAGTGGAGAACTTTCAGAGGGAAATTAACAGGCGATAACTGATAACTGACATGTGAAACTAGAACAGTCTACCCCAGTGAGCGAAATAAAGCGTTCAGTTTGACATTCCAAACACCTGAAGAAGACCGGAGCGTACAACAGCCTAAACGTCACGATAAAAATGAGGACAATAGTCCGAATAATGTAAATAATATATATATATATATATATATATATATATATATATATATATATTTGCTGCTAGAAATATACACTGATATATATATATATATACATATCAGTGTATATTTGGGCAGCAGCCTGTCCTTCAAACATTTTTCATAAAATACAGCCTGAAAGAAACATCTTTCATAAAATACAGACTAAAAGGGAACATTTAATTTGTTTTTATTAAGTTTTTCCAATCATCCTTAAGTTTTTCTGTTTTGTAGGAGTACGATGGTATAAATGATTCCATCATTTTCATATCCCAAGCGCGTTCGTCAGAAATATGGTGTTCAATAATTCTTTGTATAAAGAATTCGTCCTTCTTATATTTATTTTGCATCTGGTTGCAGTAAAATATATTGACGCTTTTTTGTTTCGGACTTTATTATTGATATCGTGTGTTTTTCTAAGAATAATTTTATTTGTTTATCATTGATGTACTTGAGGAAATTATGGTTGACTAATATTGTTTATGTATTTTATTTAGATCAGAAATATTATTTTCGAAAAGGAAATTTGTGTGCTCCATTTTATATATATCTGGACAACTGGCTATGATAATTTAAAAAGACAAGACTTCGTTATGTTGTTGTTTTATATATATATATATATATATATATATATATATATATATATATATATATATATACGGGTAAGGGAAAATACCTTGGATTTCAGTTCTGTATAAACATCAAGGAATGGAAGTTCCTTATTAAACATGAGTTTATATGTAAATTATAGCGGTAAGGCTCGGAATGAACGCTCTTATGCAAAACAAGACAAAATAAATTACAAAGTAACAGTCAAAAAAGCTTTTGCTACAAAAAATTATGTAAAGTCTTTGTGCTCCCTTATTCTACAAAATGGAAAAACGTAAACATGCTGGAAAAACTTAATAAAAAATTAATTAAATACTAAAGGACGAAACGCTTAATTTTTTACCCATTGTCGTACACAAACAAATATATATATATATATATATATATATATATATATATATATATATATATATATATATATATATATTAGAGCCATCATTGACAGATTTTGAAGGTGGGATAAAACCAGGATTTTGACATTGATTGTCAGCTTAGATAAGCACATCCCTTTTGTGACATTAGCCCAACACAATGCTTTTGCTTCGCATTCCCGGATATCTAACTTAATTTATTAAATATCTATAATTTTAGAATCGCATATGAATATTCTTGTATTGCATTAAATAACTTCCATTCGATGCAGGAAATGAATTTTTCTTTTCTTCGTTGATAAAATACGATCAGAGCATTGCACTGGAGGCAAGAAAATCTGAGGCAAATCTAATGTTATTGAACACAACTTTCGGCCTGTGCTTTTCAAAATGTTTAAATGCTGTTATATTCAAATAAAATTCAATTAAGAAAGAGAAATATAATTAAAGGAAGAAAATTTAGAGAATCATAATCTTTCAAAAATGAAAGAATAACAAATTCGGAATGTGTACAGAAAAAGCAATAAAAACGAAATTATGTTGCATTGATAATAATAATTACATCGAAATCAAAATAGAAACTACAAATGAGAAAAGCAAATAGAAATAAAAACGAATTTTGATAGGAAGAACGAATACATGTCAAAATAAGTTTCAAACAACAAATGGAATTTTATATAAATCTCTCTCTCTCGCTATATATATATATATATATATATATATATATATATATATATATATATATATATATATATATATATATATATATATATATATATATATATATATATATATATATATATATAAAAACCATATTCTTATGATTATAATTTTATCTGAAGAACATATATATTGAGATAGAGTTATAATCATAAGAATATGGTGATCAATAAAAATCAATTAAATTCTTTATATAAAAGAGAAGATAAAGTGAAGCGGATGTTGTAAATAATTGAAAATTTAACTTTATCAACATAAGTCTTACCTCTAAATATTTAATGCAAAATTTCTGTCATAATATTGTAGAAAACCTTTCTTATATACATACATTATCCAGTCGTCTAAGAATAGGTATATTTAATGTGTTAGTAGAAAAGAAAATCACTGTTTTGTAAAACATTTCATGTATGTTTTGCATTTTCTTCATTACTGTAATATTCCAGAGGGAGCTGGACAGCGTCGTGTTAGAATAGAAATGATTTCGGGATTTCATTATTTATATGAATACCAGAGTTACAAACACCAACCGACATGTGTTGTGCAAAATGTGTACTCCAACATCATTCAAACTGCCGTGACTGACAATTATAGAGAATGGCAGGAAAACTCTGCATTCTTGCAATGGTGGAGGAAAGCTTTTAGATCCTACAGGAAAGATGGGTCTCCGAATAAATATTATGAGGAAATTTTGAAAATCTTTTGAA